TTAATCCGAGGTTATAGCGAATTCTGTAGAAAATGTTGTGCCGCTCAATTGGCGCTTAATTCTTCTTGAACCGGAAACGAGTGTGCTATTCGTGATCTGACCAACCCATATAGCGAAATTCGGCTTTTTTGAGATTACAATTGTAATAATTTAACAGTACTGCTCACTAAGAACTTCTTTCGTCTTAATCTACTTGCCTGTGCGCTCAATTCGCCCTACATTACGAGGACATTCGGTTATATATCGTCATTATTCATTCCAGGGCCATTTCGGACCCATTAATACGATGGCATGGCATCCATCTGGCAACATCATTGCTACTGGTGGTGAAGATGGTTACGTGCGCGTTCAAGAATTTGATGATGACTACCTTGAGTTCAAATACGATTATTGATTCTTTCGTTTTTACATGTCCCACTGGTTTTTCTGTTACTTCGGTTCTCTTCTACGTGCAGATCTGTCGTATAGCGTCTGCACTGTGAATTCTAGCCTCTATCCGTGTTGGTGGATGCTGCTGCAGGGGGTTGATGCTTTGGTTCCGAATGAATTTTGAATTATGGTTTAGTCGGTGGAAATCTGTATTAAGATTTTACATGGTTGTTCTTTCCTCTATAGCCTAACTCGTTAGCAAATATTTACAATCAAAGTTGTTGACATAAATTGTTTTCCTGTTGATCATTCTTCAGCCTACGTGTCGGTCACTGTTATGTCGGTAAAGCTCTTTTCACTGGAGTACATGTTTTTCATACATTGTAGTCAAAACCATAGATTCATGTTGCATGTGTTGAATCGGCTTGAAAATGACCATTCAACTTCTGACTGGTTTCGAAGGGCATAAATATTGGCTGCAAATTTCCCAAAAATTAGTCGGTTCACAGTTGAGTGGGCCCATTAATTTATTTGTTCAACGTTCAATGTTCTGATCATTTTTCACAGCCGTAACATGCGTTTCACCAACTTCTATCAGAAGTTTTATTACAAATAATATTTAATTGAATACACCCCTGTGATAACACTGGAAATTAAAATGGTAGAGAGGATGATAAAGCGAGGATACTTTAGTAGGTTAGTTCTTGTGTCCAGCATCAGTCGCGTACTTCCGGTCAAAGCCACTCCTATTGCTACCTGAAACAAAATAGTAGAAATTCTTCCAGGTCTGACGTTCGTAGCTAAAACAGATTCTTACTCGATGGCTCGATAGCAAAGGTGCAGAATGCCCCCTCCCTCTCCGCCCACTAGCTATGCAGAATACCTCCCCCCCACTAGCTAAAGTGTACCCAATGAAAATAGTTGATACCACGTGATCTGTCAGTTTGTGATATGATATGTGATACACAGCAGTAGTCTGCAAGAGCTATGAGCTTTAATACTACCATAGAAGCAAAAGTGCCATCCTTCCGCTCAAGTGACCTCACTCGTGACCCTGTTTCTTATGGGAGATCAGAAATCCTTTGAGATTATGAATGGGGAAGGTGCTCAAGTTTCTACGGATTTCATGGCTTATTATGTGCGTGTTGCAGCCCCAAAAGAGGTGACCGACCCCAAAAACCTTTTTTACTTCTGATCAAATACTCTCGGAGCCGCCTTCACTATTTAAAGGCATAAAAGATATAAATGCCCTCGTTAATCAGTCCTTTCTTAGGATGGCACGCATTCTACTCCCATTCAGAAACGCAGTGGCTTATTGAAGGCGATGTGGCCTACAATAAGTTGCGGTCGCCAAGGAAGTCAGTGTTCTAATTCTCCCAAAGGAGTCTTGTACTGGTTTTCCGCCTCCGGAGGTTAAAAGGCTTAGTTGGCCTGGGATCGACCACGTAGAGGGTAAAAACGAGCCATCTGCCTCTACGTCACCTCCGACTCCTTTTATTACACGATTTCATTGAATAGATGCAAGCATTCATGACCAAACGTACGCACTGGTAGCAAGTTCTTGGCTTCATTTAGCTCCAGGCCAGCGGCATTTTCAAGGCTATGAAATGTCCACGCAAGGAACATCATCAGAAGACTTCCTCCGACGACCGCGAGCGAGGAGAGAATTCGCCAAATCGTGAGCGATGGTAGTGGCAGAATGCAAACAGTACTAGCTAATCCATAGGCCGGCACATACATCCACCATGAGGGGTCATTCTGAAAATAAGGAAACCTAATACGTCACATAATGAAGGATAAAGTTTGAGTTAATGCTTCACAAAACCTACTCGATAGTGATAGATAGCGTGAGCTGAAAGACCCATCGCCATCACAGTGGTCAGTCCAGCGTTCATGTTCTCTCTGTAAAACTAACCATAATTTCACTACCCCAACTAGTAGCAGTAAAGGTCGACATTAATGCAAAAGCCTTCTTGTGTACAACCTAGTAGGTATAAGTGTCTGAGGTCATGAAGTGCGAAAAAAGATATAATTTTCGGGGTGTCAAATCCACCCAGTAATTGTGCCGATTATTTAAGGCTGTGGCACAAAGCCATTGAGCCAAGAGGGTAAAGGGCGAGCCTGGTTTTGACAGGGAGTGCACTCTCCAAAAGCGTGAAGTACGGGTTTGAGTCCCACATTCGATCAAGAACTCTAGCCATCACTGAACATTCTTGTGATCTTTCAGAGCGCGAACTGCGGCGTCAAACAATGGTCATTAAACTCAACTAATCCCACAGGAATGTGCCACGTATCCTACTTCCATCGTGATGGCATTTTGTTTCGATTTGATCTACACAGGGACTTGCGGTGATCACCCTGCGTAAAATTCGATGTTTTCACTCTCTCAAACACCCGGACACATTGACCCGGAGTGATGGAGGGCCTGGTGTGCCCAAGCGGAAGCCAAATTAGAAGTTGTTTTTGCAGTTTGATCTCCGGATTACTGCATGGTATGCGGTGCCACCTTGCTGCTTCACTATCTTTGAACATGGAATACATAGAGAAGGGAAATGGCCACTGTTGTAGCTATAGTGATGTGTAGACGAACAGGTGACGAGGAAGTTTATCAGATAGATGCACAGGGAGCCGACGTATCCGAATTAGAATGAACCTCACCATATAACTACAGACCGGCTCAATGTAAACAATGA